CAACCTTTGCAATAAATATAGAAAGATAATTGTTAATCGTGATGTAATATTTAGCGCATCACATGACTCCCGTAGTAGTTCGTTCTAATTGGTCAATATTAACGGTCAATTGGTTGGTCCACGATTTACAATCTCACAATGTAAAAATAAATGTTGTTTGATTTATTTCGTCAACAATCTAGGGTTCCTAACCGTAATTATCTCTTAAATGGTCAGAGTATTCTTTAATGGTAACACAAATTAAAGTTTTGATCATTCTTATGGTCAAATTAACAATCAGCAAAGTAAAACAGTCAATTGACCAACTTTTAAGAAGATTTTACAAAAACCACAAGGACAACAACTGGATTTTTATTTATAGATTAATCAGCTGAATCTCAAAAGATCATTTTCATATTAGAAAGTGATGCCCTCAGAAAAAATTTTTATATCAGACAAATTTTATCAGCTATCAATAGCTGATTAACCATTTAGGGGATAACACCATATTCAAATATTCATAAATCCAAAATTACAAATTTCAAATATTATTTTGGATACTTGTAATTCTTTTTGAATGCTCATTATTTCAGATATTTGTATAAATCCTAACAAACTATTATTAATTTTTTTTTGTTCTTTAATTAATAAAGTTTCTTTTTGGACATCATCAATTTGATTGTTCATTTCAAGCTATATCAAAAAATTATTAATAAATTATATCATCATACAAATCAAAAAATTACCATCTTTTTTTATCAGCCAATTAGAATTTCTTTTCATAACGTCAATCATTACAGGGTATTATCCCTGGTTGAATTTAGCCAATCAGAATTTCTTCTAGAATTTTTCATACCATCAAAGCATAGTGGACATTTGATTTCATTGGCTAAATTTTGTGACGATCTCCCTTCCAGATATCACGCAAAAATTAAATTTTATTGGCTTGAAGATCATTACACAACTTTGAAAAACAAAATATTAATATTAATATTAATATCAGAGGCTTTAATAATATTAACATTAAAACATTACCTGTCAGATATTCCAGTAACAAAAGTGCCTGGATGACAATGCAATTATGGAAGAAATGGTTTGATTTCACATTAGAGAAAAAATCAGTTTTGTTAATTGATAATTGTCCTGCTCATACTGATGGTTCACACCTTGGTCTTAAAAATTTACAAGTAATATATCTTCCTCCTAATACAACATCTCATATTCAACCATGTGATGCTGGAATCATTCACAATTTTAAGGTCAATTACCAGAATACACTTGTGTCAAAATGGATTAAAGATCTAGATGAAGGAAATGAGATTAAAAAAAAAATATTAAGCAAGCAATTGACATTATTGGAGAGGCTTGGGATAATGTCAAAGAAGAAACAATAAAAAATTGTTGGAAAAAAACAGAAATATTACCACCAAGCAGAACATTAGAGATTGCAGATGAACCTACATCAAATGATATTCTTGAAGAATTAGTTGATGGTCTTAGAATCAATCATACAAATAATTTAACAATGTCAGCTGAAGATTTTGTTAATATTGATTCAAGTGTTATAACAACTGAATTACTTACTGATGAAGATATTCTCATTTCAGAAGGTGTTCATGTTGAAGAGAAAGATGTGAGCAAAGAGAGTGAGGAAGAATCAGTCATGTCTATAAAAGAAGGAAGGAAAGTACTTGAAAATGCCAAAAAATTCTTGGAACAACAAGAATTTGCTACAGAAAAAGATATTAAGTATGTTAAAGAGTTAATAAAACATTTAAATAGTTTTGAAGATAAGACAAAACGTCAATCTTTGTTGACAGAATTTTATTAATTTTATTGTTATATTAAGGGTAGAGTGAGTCATGTGATTTTTCATAACAACTGAAGGGATGAATTTTTTACAGTGACGATCATTTTCTTATGTCACACATTAAAATAAATTATAATAAAATAATTCTAAAACGATCAA